CCTGGGGGCGCGGGGGGCCGGAGAACGGGGGCCGGGCGGGGACAGGGGCCCCTGCGTAGCTGGACCGCGAGCCCGCGCCCAGCCTGCGCCGCCCCCACCCGGCCCCGGTCCGTCCGCCCGGCCCGACCCCATCCCATCCGTTCCTGGTCTCCTCCCGATCCGACCGGTTGCCCGGCTGTGGCGCGCCACATCTGGCTTCCAAAGCTGGGCTTCTCCTCCAGTCCAGGCTCGCTTTCGTTTTAGAGATGTCTGGCCTCTTTCCCAACCGGCCCGCCTTCAAAACCGGGACCTGGCACCTGGCAGCTGGCTTCCCTTCTCTCTACTAAGACTCCACTTGCCTCTACCCCACTTCTTCCTCCGAGTCTTCGTTCCCCCTGGTTGGAGACTGCTCACTTCCTTTCCAGATCAATCCCTGACCCCTCCCTAAACATTGACAACCTTGACGAGCCCCTCAGCTGAGGAGCCAGACTTCAATTGGACGCGCCTCCACAGCGCTGTCATGGAGGCTGTGTACCTGGTAGTGAACGGGGTGGGCCTGATGCTGGACGTGCTGACCTTGGTGTTGGACCTCAACTTCCTGCTGGTGTCCTCCCTCCTGGCTTCCCTGGCCTGGCTCCTGGCCTTCATCTACAACCTGCCACACACGGTACTGACGAGTCTTCTGCATTTGGGCCGTGGAGTCCTGCTTTCACTGCTGGCCTTGATCGAAGCCTTGGTCCGGCTCACCTTTGGGGGCTTGCAGGCCTTGTGCACCCTACTCTACAGCTGCTGCTCAGGCCTGGAGAGCCTGAAGCTCCTGGGACACCTGGCCTCTCATGGGGCACTGCGGAGCCGGGAGATACTGCACCGAGGCATCCTCAATGTGGTCTCCAATGGCCACGCTTTGCTGCGCCAGGCCTGTGACATCTGTGCCATCGCCATGAGCCTGGTGGCCTATGTGATCAACAGCCTGGTCAACATCTGCCTCATTGGCACTCAGAATCTCTTCTCCCTGGTGCTGGCCCTGTGGGATGCAGTGACAGGGCCTCTGTGGAGGATGACAGATGTGGTGGCCGCCTTCCTAGCACACATTTCCAGCAGTGCTGTGGCCATGGCCATCCTCCTTTGGACTCCCTGCCAGCTAGCCCTGGAGCTGTTGGCCTCAACCGCTCGCCTCCTGGCCAGCTTTGTGCTTGTCAATCTCACCGGCCTGGTGTTGCTAGCCTGCGTGCTGGCAGTGACGGTGACTGTATTGCACCCAGACCTCACCCTGAGGCTGGCTACCCGGGCACTCAGTCAGCTTCATGCCAGGCCGTCCTACCACCGTCTCCGAGAGGACATCGTGCGGCTGTCTCGCCTGGCACTGGGCGTGGAGGCCTGGCGCCGAATCTGGAGTCGCAGCCTGCAGCTGGCAAGCTGGCCAAACCGGGGAGGGGCACCCGGAGCCCCTCAGGGTGGCCCTCGGAGGATGTTCACAGTCAGGACCCAGGGACAGGACATTCCTCCTGAAGCAGGGCCCAGGTCAGAGGCAGAAGAGGAGGAGGTCAGGACCATCAGAGCATCAGCTGCTCGGGGCCGTGAGAGGCTCAATGAGGAGGACCCTGTGGCTGGGCAAGACCCCTGGAAGTTGCTGAAGGAGCAGGAGGAGCGGAAGAAGTGTGTCATCTGCCAGGACCAGAGCAAGACAGTCCTGCTCCTGCCTTGCCGGCACCTGTGTCTGTGCCAGGCCTGCACCGAAATTCTCATGCGCCACCCCGTCTGCCACCGCAACTGTCCGCTCTGCCGTCGGAGCATCCTGCAGACCCTCAATGTCTACCTCTGAAGACTCCCTGACCCTGCCTGCTCACCCCGCCACGCTCCACACAGGCACCTGCACTAGGGCAGCATTAACACCTCATCTTTGGGGCCTGGCCTGAATCCTTTCTTGCCCTCATGGGCATGACTGACATGCCAAGCCTCCAAGCCATAAATCCAGGACATGAAGATTGCGTACTCCAGAAGACAATGATCTGGGTGGGGGCAGGTCCCGTAGTTTCTCCTTCCCCAGCAGGTCCCTCAGATGCTGAGGGTGGTGAGTATGTACTATGCAAGGGCCTTGGGACTGTTGAGGTCTCTTCTGTCTGCCCAGGGACCACAGACGCCAGCCCTGGGGCTACCCCTCTGTGCTTCTGCATCCTCCTGCTCCCTCCCCAGCTTCTGCAGCCGCAACACATCAGTGTCCATTGGTGTTTTGGCAACTCAAGGGCCTTGGAGTAATCTTGAACCTTCGTGTTCGGCTAGAGCCCCAGCACCCTGGAAGGACATGGGGTTAGCCTCTCAGGTGCCCTTAGAGCCACGGCTGCCTGTCACGACCTTCTGTGGCTCCCTTTCAACCTGATCCAAAAACTGGGTCTGGAGTTTGCCCCCAGCGGGGTGTGTGCACCTGCACTTGGCTTTGGGACCATGTGCCCTCTGGCCTCCCCATTCCACAGGGAGCTGTAGGAGCAATAACCAGATTTCGGTTTTCACCTCTCCCCACTTCACATAGAAACCTGCATTCCTCTTTTGTCTGTTTCCCCCTGGCACCAGGGAAGGCAGACTGCACAGTTCACTAGGGTCCAAACACAGGTGGGGCCAGGGCCCAGGGGCACGCAGCTCCTGGGGACCCCTCCCCCCCGGCCATTTCCAAGGAATAAAGTTGTGTTGACAGCTCTGGTGGCCTCCGCACGTTCCTCGAGGTTGGTAGGGAGGCCGGCGCTGCAGCAGGAGCTCTGCTGGAGCCAGAACTGGGGTCTGGAGGACCTGGGCTTAAACTTGGGGGTGTGGGAGGTAAGATGAGTGGGAGGGCTGTGCCACGGGCAGGCTGCACCTTGTCAGGCGTGGCTGGTCTGGCTCTCCCCCTCCGATTTGCACCGTCTCACACACGGCTCCAGACAGCCTTGCTCTTTTTCGGTTTGGCCAGAACGAAGCCCTAGTGGGACAGAATGTGAGCTTTCTCACCCCCAGTCGGCCCTTCCAGCATTTCTTCTGGGGGAGGGAACTCAGGGTTCCTGCTGCCTGCCCTTGTGTCTCTTGGTGCTGGGATGGGCTGGAGTATGGCTGCGGGCCCCCTGCTGAGAGCAGGAGCCACAGCCCTGGACGGCTCATGTGTGGGGTTCAGCTCACGTGTGGGGTTCGGGCCCCATGGGCAGATCTGCCCTCAGGGGCCAGTGAGAAGGGGAGCAATGCCCTGTTGTAAGTTGCATCTTGATGCCGGGACTGCCTTTGGAAGGTGGCATGAGAGGAGGGGAGGGGAAGGGAGATGGTGAAGAAACTTGGAGTAGCCCCCCCACACACACACACACACTTTCTCTTGACTGGAGAGGCTGAGCCTGGGGGACTGGCAAGCCCTGGTTTGTTCCCAGTTGACTAGGGGCTAGGGGTGGGGCCCAGGCTGGGATCTGGTCAGAGGGGAACCTCTAAGGGGTTTTCCTGCCAGCCTCAGCCTCAGTGGCTCAGCCCACCCAGTGGCCAGGGGTTCCCTCCACCTCTGGGTTGGGAGACCTGAGGGAGGTCTGTGCTTTCTCTCCCCTTCCCCCAACCCTGGAGAGGGGGCTCAGCTTCCTCCAGTCTGTTTAACGTGGGAATAAACATTTAATGAGAGAAGATAAACTTCCTGAGCGTGCAGAGGACTCCTCTCCCTCCACCCCCATCTGGAATTCCTTTGGTAGACCTCAATACCCTTCCTCCTCCCCTAACCACCCCAGGAGTCCTCAGCTAAGCCTACGCAGGGTCACTGCTGGGTCTGGAGCTGGGGTGCCCCCTGGTGGCCATCCCAGGAACTACTGTGGGCACCCAAGGACGCTCCACTCACCTGGCTCTGGAAGCAGCTAGGGCAGACGGGAATGAAGATGGGGCAGGAGCAGGTGTGGTGCAGGCAGACCCCACCTAGTTCATTTGGCATCTCTGGATTAGAAAAGGTGCCCCAAGGGGCCAACAAGTGGTGTGGTGGTTAAGGGCACTGGACTCCCACTTGGTGGACCAGGGTTTGAGTTCTGGAACTGGCAGCTTGCTCTATCATTCTGTTCCTCTCTGGTCAAATTTAGAAATAATTAAAGTTAAATAAAATAATTCTCAAAAGAAAAAAAACAACGATGCACTTTTCTTTGGGTGGCTGATCCCCATGTGAGGAGGGCACCCCACAGTCAGACATTCCTTTCTTTCTTTCTTTCTTTAAAGAATTACTTATCTAGAGACCAGCAGCTGGCCTAATGGCTATGTCTCTGGACTCCCATGTAGTCAACCGCGGTTCGAGTCCTGGACCTGCTGGCTTTAACTCACACTGGGCGTGTTTGTGTGCATGTGCCCAAGGTCCCAAGAGGAGAATGGAGGAGAAGGGATTGTGGTGTGGCCATCCCCCCCCCCCCCCCGGGGAGTGATTTCTTGCTTTCTGTCCCTCTCTTTCTGGCTAGTGCCCGCCCGTGCCCTATAGCAAAAACCTCTCAAAAAAAAAAAAAAAAAAAGTGTCAGGGACCAGCAGGTGATGTGGTGGTTAAGGCCCTGGACATCCCACTGGGCCAACCACGGTTGGAGTCCCAGATCTGGTGGCTTGCTTTCCTCACCCCCCCCCCGGGTCAAATTAAAATAAATGAATGAATACATCAAATAAGTAATTCTATTTTTTTTGGAGAGGTTTTTGCTATAGAGCACAGAGAGAGACAGAAAGCGAGAAATCACCCCCCGGGGGGGATGACCATGCCACAATCCCTTCTCCATTCTCCTCTCGGGATCACACGTGCCTGGTGTGAGTTTAAGTCACCGGGTCTGGGACTCGAACCGCAGTCGACTACATGGGAGTCCAGTGACATAGCCATTACGCTAACTGCTGGTGTCCACTCTCCTTTTCACAACCCTCACAAGCTAGGAGGCCACCAGAGTCTGTTTCCTAAACCTCTAGCCCCACAGCGCCATCCCACCCAAGAACCCTGCTTCTGCCTGGAGGTTCCCATTCTGCCCACCCTCAGAAACAGCATCAGGCACTAAAGAAGCCAATCAAAGGGTTTTAAGATTTATTGAGTGATCTCTGAGAAAAGGACCGGCCCTTCGAGCACAAAGGATAAGGAGGACCCAGAGACGCAGAGGACCAGGAAGAGAGCACCCCCGCCCTTGGGGTCCTGGGCCAGAGCAGCTGGGGGACCCACACGTGGCAGCACAGCACATTCCTTTGGTCTTGGGCAGAAATCCAGCCACAGCCTGGCGCTGCCAGCCCTGATCTCACACAGCCTCTGTCCCCATTCCGTGCTGCGACAGGACGGAGAGGCCCCTACTCCACCTCCCTAGTCATTCACAATATTCGGGGGGGCCAGCCCTCCCGGCGACGCGGCCGTCAGTGTCATGCAGTGCGGCCCTAGGAGCGAGGCCCGCTCACCTTCCGGGGCACTAGGCGAAGACTGGGGAGCTGTGCCAGTCGGAGTACACCAGGAATCCAGAGAAGGTGCTGTCTGTCTTGACGCTGGCGTAGATGCCGATGTAATCGCCCACGCCCACCTGCACCCACACCTGGTCCTCCGGCTCCAGCCTCACCATGGCGCCCCCCGAGAGTGAGGCTGGCTTAGGCCACCCCCCGAAAAACTGGAAGAAAGAGGCGATGGATTCACCGTTCTTGACCAGATCGAACTGCAGGCTGGCCCGGTAGACCGTGGCGTGGACGGCGAAGTAGTAGACCCCGGGCACCTGGCAGGTGAACTTGCCGGTGGCGGCGTCGTAATGCCCCTGCTCGTTCAGCAGCACGCGGTCGAAGGGCAGGGGCGCGTCGGCAGGCGGCGGCTCCCGGCTCTCCGAGCGCTTGGCGCTGAAGGCGGAGCGCGGGGGCACCGAACACTCCCCCGCAGGCCCGGGCGCCCCCACGGGGCCCGCCTCTCCACGCGGC